CACTGATGTGCTCACAGTGACAGCTACCAAAACAGACACGTTTGTTGCATTGCTGAAATCGTTTGCAAATTGATTAAAACTCATGCGTGAGAACAATGGTGGCCCAATTAAGCAATATTGATGCTTGGAATTACTTTTTTGATTGAATTAAAATCTTATTTTACTTTGCTATGCTCTCAGGGAAAAAAGTGTGATTTATTTTGCAACATCCCTTAATGTTCATAATTATGATGAGGAGTGACTTGCAACAGCCCTTTAATTAATATTTTCAGGGTAAAAATAGATACGCATTGTTCAGAGATGAGTACACAAGCATAAACACAATATTTAAGACAAGTTTGCATGGTTAAGAGTCAATCAAGCCACATAGGTTTTTAAGCAGTATTTGTTTGTTGGTATTTCACTGGAATCCAGTTTTAAATGCCTGAAAGAAAAATTAATAAGAGATTGGATTCTTTGATAAATTGTTTATGCAAAGTATTCTTGATGAAATTTAGTTGAATGAACGGCAACTGCCTGTTTTTGAAACACAAGTATAAAGGACGATGTTTCGAAAGTCTTTCACCTTTCGTCTTCAGGTCAATGTGTGTAAAAAAATTTTTACACAAATAAACAATCTTCTAATAACCTAATCATTTGACATAAATTTCACTAAAAATGATAAACAGTAAACGAAAGCTACAAATTTGAATTTTTCAAAAAGACTTTAAAACTTTTGACTTACTCGAAAATTCTCAGATCCTCTTGACTTTCCTAAATGTTCTAATAATCATTTTCTATAATTTACACTCTATAACTTATTAAATGCCTAACAAAATTTTTGCACTATACAAAAACCATGGCAAGTCAACCAAAGCATTTCAGCAATGCCATATATTTGCCAGATTTGAACAGAAGATCAACAAAAAAAGAATAATCAACAAATTTCCACTATGGAAAAGAACAATATCTCCAAGCCTGTGATAAGAAAACTTTTTTTTTATCAAATTTATCGATGGCATGATGCAGAAAAATAATACAATTACAATCCTATGTTTTACATTCTTGGGCTTCTTACCCCTGACTTTTTCCACTGTCTAGGTCGTTTTACTTCTTCTTCAACCTCTTCATCTGAAGCCATAGATGTCAGTTTTATAGGAGCTTGCTTATGCTCAGGTCCATAGCACCCAATAGCTCCCTTGCCTTTTCTCTGTTTGGCTTCAATAGGTGCTGCAATTCCTTGTAATTCCTTCCCTAAACCCTTACCTGGTTGATAGCCCATCTGGTAAAAAAACCCATACACATTAAATTTCATAGTAAATTTATTAAATTAATTGGAAGGGAAACTTAAGATTTATCTTTTACAAAATTTTGGCCTACAATTAAAATAATTGAATGACAATATAATGTCTATTTAATTTAAAAAAATACTTTCAAATATATAGTTGTTACTACAATTGTCTAAGAAATATTTTAACATATCACACAGTTCAATCATATTATGTTCATATGCTGCTTACATGGTAAAACCCAAAAGTACGTTGTACTTTAATTACTAGTACTGATAGTTTTTAAAGATTTATAGATAGACTGTCACCTGAAATCAAACTGTAATTAACCCTTCCTAGACCAAGGAGGTGTCATTGACATCCCTTGAATTTTTTTCCTTTTCATAGTGCAAATACTTAACCAAACTGCACAAAACTTACTAACTAGTATTGGTTTTAAAAACAATAATTCAATTTGTGTTACTTTTTCTATAATTTTTTATGTTGAGAAATTTCCACCATTTTATTGATAGACACTGTTTCAAAAAACATTAGCAATACTTCTTTCAGCTTAGAATTTTAACTTTTTTTATTGTTAATCAGAAACTACATTTTATACATACAATCAGTTAAAACCTCATTAAAATTCACTAACATACTTCTTTTCATAGTTCAATTTGCCAATCATAGCAGTCACCACTTTGATCAAATACAAATTAACAGAAATATCTTGTGGAAAGGAAAAAAATGTCAGAACATTTTTTTTTTCTTTGCAACTTAGTGTATAAATATTTAAAATGTCAAATCTAAAATTTTTTTGAGTAAAAAATTATTGAAATTTGATATGTAGGTGTGCACTTGACATTTGAAACATGCTTACTGGATCAGAAAGGGTTAAAAAACATTGTATCTAATGAAACTTTTTGTTTCTACAGAAAAATAAATAACCTTTGACAAAAATGTACAAAAAAATGTTGTTAATATATTTAGACATGTATGAAACAGGAATAATAAAAGGGGTGAACAGCAGATCTCATAAATAAATCTTAATGAAAACTATTATTTCATTAAACAGAGATAAAGATGTGTGAAAGTACGGTACACTATTTCCAAGTTTGATTTGATAGACTGTGTTACCTGAAGTAGTAGCTTTTGACCAATACCACGTGTGTGTCTTTCCCAGTCCCCAATCTCTCTATAACATAGCATAAAATGCCTTAATACACATTTCACTAAGAAGGATCACATATATATGATATGGTTTACATATATTAAACAGGAAAATACAAATCACTTTTTCTCAAAATCAATTTCACACTAATTTTTGAAATAAAGTCATTAAAACTTGCAAATGATTTAGATAATGTATTGTACCAAAATCTTTCGATATAGTTTCATATTATATTCTTAATTAAGATATGTCCACAAAAAAACACAGCTATAACATAAAATATTGTTAATAAAGAATTTCTTGTGATTCTTAAAGTTGTTTATATCAAACACATTCAAAGATTAGTGGCTACACTCGTGAATATATTTGTACAATAGTATTATAAGATGTCAAACAGTCTTACAACAACAATAAAATGTTGTATATAGCCAAACTAGTAAAATGCAATGATGGAAACAGATTTCATTGATTTTTACAATTTCAACGCACAAGTTCTTTTATTTCTCTGCCAATAAAAAACATGCATCATTACTTTAGCACTTCAGATCACTAGATCACATTAAAAGCTATAAAGCCAAGTACAATGAATCATCAAAACACGTTTAGCTCTATACATATTTCACAAAATGCCACCTAAATATGCATAAACATTGCAGTCTCTTAGTGCTGCCACAAAGGATGTTATTTCTGCTCATACTACAAGACAAAACAGTTGTGCAACCTGTATCAATTAAAGGATAAAATTATGTAATGTCACAACTTCATTCATAGGTCAATCCTACCAATAAGGACAGGGTTCAAATATCTACAAAAACTATGCTATTTGACAAGGAAGGAAGGACCTTCCTAAACATATTATTGCCATATTCTTCTCAATATCCAAGAACACAGTCTACAAGATCCTTAACTTGGCCCTAACCTCTAATAACCTAAACATTAAATTTCATTATAGCTTTCTTTAATCAATATAGCACAGAAAAATCACCCAAATCATGAAATGGTTTGTTTAACTATGGGTATACAATTACAGACGTATACGGTCAGGCTTGTCTAAAGTTCTTCATCGGTAATTGGTTAACTCTTGCAGCACGAGCTCAGTCCCTAGGACTAAACTCGTAACCATTTTGTGCTTGTTATAGTTTTCATGCTACAACCTTTAAATTAGTAAGCGTATGTTAACAAAGTTTGGCAGATTATCAGTAGACATTACAATGCTTTCATATGCATAATAAAATTTTTTTAATTAAGTGATAAGGTTTATGACGTAATGTTTTTCTCGTGTATAATTTTTTCTTTTCGCATGTTACCCGTCCAACATGCAAAGTAATATTCATTTTAAGATTAAAAATATTTTTATGCATCAGAAAATTTTCAAATTTCACATGCGAAATTATTATAACATCCAGATAGTTATCAAACATTTCTTACGAAAAAACTTTATATTTTACCTGTTATTTTCAGTAACAAATCTCTGTACGGGTTTGGTCAATTTGACCGATCTCATAACCATGTTAAAAAATTAGAAAATAAATACAAACTATGCCTTTTTCATTCTAGAATGACTACAAATTATAACATGAAAACACAAATGTTTAGACTAAATATCTTAAATCTCATAACATTATACATTTATATATATTTATTATTTTTATTATACTGACTCATGTTACCCTATCCAATAATATAAAACTGACCTTTAGTCTTTACAAAGTGACCTGTCTTGGCTGTGTTTTAGTAGACTAGTAGTTTGTAAAATACAGTCACATTTCAATTATTATACATTATATATGTATATAGGTTATTGAAATAAGTTTTTAAACTTATTTTTCTTAAAACATAGAACAGTAAATAAAGAAGTAAAGCAAACAATTATCTCTTCCAGTTATGAACTTTGTACTCGGTTGCTGCTTGATGTATGTTGCTAAGCCTTTTAAAATTTTGCACATGAAGGATATGAAACAAAATAATGTTTTTAGGTTTTATATACACAGTTGAATAATCAAAAAATCATAATTACTACATCAATTCCATATAATTCCTCTATAATTTATCAAGCTTAGTAACTAAGATGTATTTTACTCTAAACAAATAAGAAATTTCAAACAGAATAAAAACATACCCTACCTCGTTGAAATATTGGTTAAAAAGAAAGAAATGGTGCCAAGCCCGTTAAAATGGCTGAGAATAACTTGAGCTACTGATTGGTCATTCATATCATATATAGAAGTAAGTGTATATAAGGGAGCATTTCCAGAAATGGAAAGAGGTGGGTGGGGTGCCACTGTGTTTGATTTATTACATGAGAAATATCACAACAAATTGAAAAGAGGCTCTTATTTTATATTCTAGCTTGTCAATATCAGTAATTTGAGTTCATAATTCATAACAAACTACAGGATTAGTATTTTGACATCACAAACATCTAATTTGAACCAGTGCTGCATTTAACATACCAAGCGATACACAAAATTCAATGTTTAACTTTATTTTTTTAATATTTACTTTTAAATTAAGATGTTGAGCTAGGTATAATACTAAAATTTGAATTATAATCTACAGTTTGATACCAAATTTATTGACATAAATTCATGAAATAGTAGTTCCATAAAATTTTCAATGAGAGTTAAACGCAATGACATGGCCTTTGCCTCGTCTGGAATGGGTTAAATTATGGCAACTACATTTTCTAAATATTTTCCCTTATATTCCATCGTGAAGTCCATTTCTATAATTTGTTTACAAATGTTACCACACATTACATAAAATAAACTTTGGAAATTAGAGTGCAGACAAACTATTAAACCACCATGTTGTTGATTTACTGCTGTGAACAACAAACAGATGGTAACTTGAAAAAGTATGACACATGGTAATGTTAGCATTTTCCTTACCTGAAAATCTATTTCTAATAGATACCTCTCTTCATACAATAGTTATTCCTCTTGCCTCTGCCTTTGAGATTTTATGTATGCCACTAGCCTTATCTGCCAACTAAACACATTTTTTAATGTGAACAGCACTAGTGTATGATGTGATCATCAAGTGATAATTAATAGTCCTCCAGCAACAGAAGGGTGACACATACTCCATGCACAGTAGATCTCCACAAGCACTTGCTCTCAAAATTAACTTTATTCCTAGATTTGACAAAAATAATGTGCATCAGTAGTGGGGAGGAAGGTGAGCAGATAGGTATCTTTCTATCAGAAATACATTTTCAGGTCAGGAAAATGTTAACTTACGAAACAATATTCTTACCTATTTGCACACAGTAGCTAGAATCCCACCCTAATGTGGTGGAGGGGCCGGTGCAATTGTGAAAACCTGGATGAACTCCTTTCAACAAAGGCAACTGAAAGGGAAAACCCATAAAGTGTGACACCCTATAGTCGGGGCTTACTAGAGGGGCAACATTCATGGGAGACTGTAACCATCTCATGCAGGGCATACTCTTCACCTGAATGGAAGTAAGATTGAAGGAAGGCAAAGAAGTCAACGTGTCGCAGGGATGGATGGAAAGTGCACAACCAAGTGAGCACTTGTACATAACTGGTTGACTTAGTATGAGGTGTAGTGTGGTAAAAGCAATTATCAGAATGTAGAGTTTGGTATGGTTCTGTTGTATCGTATAGTCACCATACATGACAGGAATGGGGACAAAGGTCCCTTCGTGCCACAGGAGGACAACACTGTGCCCCATCCAGTTGGCCAAACCACCAGGAAATTGGCATATTATATAACAGAGTGACTTGCACCCCACTGCCCTACTCCCCAACTCATTGTGCTGCCCACTTGTTAGTGGCAAGGGTTTCTAGTTCTCCACTCAATGACTAGGTAGTGAGGAATTTGCAGTGAAGAAACAATGAAGAGGTGCCCAGACCCAATCAAACCTAACTGCTTGAAAGATGAAGAAAGTGCAACGGATAACCATGAAATCTAATTTGAAAAGCTGGCAAGAGCAAGCCAAGGAAATTCCCCAGCACTGGCTTTTTCCATGGAAGGTAAAATATAGAATGAACAATGCTATGTACGTACTAATTTTCTATATATAATTATCCCACCTAAGTGATCTTGCAAAAAACTCCATCTCAACAGTGGGAACATTTGGTGCCATGGCAGATGGGTTTATTGTTTTCCACTACCCCAGACACAATGCAAGTTTAGGGAAATATGTAAACACTGTGAGGCAACATCAGCTATTGGATGGGTTCTGAGAAGTAAATATCACAAGAGTAGAAATGGGTAAGAAAGTAAAAATGGCATTTACCCAACATAGACAATGAGTAGACTGGAGAATGGCGACTAGATGTATGCAAAATCCTGAGGGAGTCAAAACTGTTAGAATGATGGGAGATGGAGGAGTTGGGTGTATTCCACATTCCAGCATGAAAGATCTCATTCAATGATCATCAAAAGTGTAAGGCCAGAGAGTGAGTCATATAACAGACTGGATGTGATGAGACATAATACAGCATGAGATCATCTAAATCCATGGACGAATATACAACCGACTGTGTAGATGAATCCAATCGGCAAGTGTAGAGGATGACAGATTCCTGGAAGAGGAGAGATCCCATGGCTAGAATAAATTATTGTGGGAACCCTGAAATGGAGATGTGCATGCAAAGTAACACCTGATTGCTGGCACAAGGCACAAAAGACAATTAGGATCAGTACAATCATAGATGGACAACATTGGCAGAAGAGAAATGGGAGAGGAGGAGTTATCTCCCTCAAGAGCTGCACAAGACTCAGGAAGAAATGAGTAGTGAGGGAACAAGATCAAGAAGATCTGTGAAACAATGTATGGGAGAAATCCAATGCATAAAGATCATACCTATGACAACTACAAGCAAGAAGGAAAAGAAAATAGGTTTTGAGAGAGAGATTGTATAATGAGCAAGTATCCAAACAGGGCCTGGGTCCAACAACAGAGGAATTAAGTAAGTAGGGACAAAGCAGAAGACAAAACCCTGATCAAGGTATTAAAAAGTACCATCTATAGATCTAAAAACAAAACAAAAAACTATCAGTATCATGGTGTATTGCTTCAGAGAAAAATGAAGGGAAGATAGGTAAGAGGAAGGCAAAGATGGGAAAACTTACCACTATACACAGGGGT